CCCACTTTTCTTCAGCTCTAGAAACATTATAAAGTTAATCCTTAGACTTCCTGTGCCCAAAGGAGGACTGGTCAGTTATACCCGGTATCACTGGAAAGAAGGAGTTGCGTGGGTGGGTGAGTTCTTGAACACAGAGGCCCCAGGGTGAGCCTTTCACTCAACCACGAGGCTGGGCAGGAGCTTCTGGAAACTCACTGCCACCAGGGCTAAGGTTTCCACAGCCTCAAGTTCTGGGAACAGGTGGGCACGATTGACCTGAGGGTGGGAAGAGAGGAGGTGAGTGAAAGTACGAGAGGAAAGGACCATGTGTGTATACTAACGTGCATCCTGTCAGCTGGCAGGTTACAAATCCATGGGTCCTAACGGGGAACCTTGAAACACCAATTTGTCCAAAGAATAACCAGGCCAAGTGTTTCTAATTGCCCCTGCTGAAATTTCAGATAGAATGAGATGCATGTGATGTAGTTTCAAAAAAGTATAACTAAATAAGCTCTTCTAAGATTGACTTAATCACTTTTCAGGAATTTTCTTTAAATGCGCTGAGATTTGCATGGTGGTAGTTTACACCCTAATGGATTAAGATTAGAAAATTCCCTTTCACAAATCAGATGAAATCAAAACTGCCGGCGGTGCCAGGGTGGCCTGTAGCTCATCATCCAACCCGCTGCCTGCTGTGAGTCTGGGACCCTCTTACAGAGACCTCTGCCTGCCCGCACTGAGCCATCTAGAAGAGCAAAACCGAAAGCCACCCACGCACTTCAGAGGAAGAGCAGGCTTACCAGGAAGCAGGCAGGCTGGGAATCTCCCCGGGACCCACCGCCTGACACCCAGTGACCTTCACTTCACTCCACAGTTGCGTCCTGAGCACAGGAAGGGGAAGGGCAGCAGCAGATGCAAAGAGAGTTTTCCATTACAGCACAGGGCAGGCAGCAGAGAGAGCAGGGTAGCCTCAGGGACAGGCCTGGGGGGAGCCCCAACGTCTGTGTCTGTCTCTGTGTGTGTGTGTGTGTGTGAGGGGTGGGGGAGGGAGAGAAAGTGTGTGTGTGGGGAGGGGGGGGAGAGGGAGAGAGAGATGAGTGGGCAGGCTGCACCTGCTCAGCCCCCTTCAGCACAGCTAACAGTCTCTCCCGAGAGCCAGCTGCTCCCATGGGAGGCGGTGCTGCTGCCCCCAGGGGCAGGCTGTGGTAGGAGCAAACCATCTGAAGAGAGAAGAGCTTGGCCGGGGCACACCCAGCGAGTGCGGGGATGTTAAATAGAAACTCTGCAGAACAGTGTCACTCAGGTTCACTTAACATCTTGTTAAATCTGTTTCCTAATCCAGGGTCTGTTAGACACTTTTCACGGAAAGCTAAGGCTTTACTGACTCCTTGATAATTTAAGTGGCCATATGGTCCACAGCTCCCAGTCCGGAAATCTAGTATCCCAGAAAAAGCAGCTGCTTCTATCAGAAGGTGTGGTTACAAAAACAGAGACTGCTGTCAACAGCTACTTTGTTTAACACCCTTAGTTTCGCCATCAGGAAGTACTGTCCGGTTTACATACATGTGACACCACATCTAATCTTTCATTTTACAGTTGAGACAACTGAGGCCTTGTGAAGTGGAGAAATGCTGCCGTGGCAGGGACTGTGTCCGGCACCCAAAGTCCTTGCTTTTCCTCCTGAGGTCGACTTTATTGCGGCCCTACACGTTAATGGCTTAGGGTCTCAGGGGCTGCCTTGGCACTGACCATCTGTGGCCTACAAAACCGGCAGTCTGATAGGCCCCAACTGGATTTCTCGGCTAAGAATCTGGCTCTGTGCCTTCCAGGTCCAGGCAGGCAGACCTGTTACAATATCCCTCAGCAACAAGGTTTTGTAAAGAAAACCTTGCTCATTAACGGCCACCACTGCTCAGTGCACAAGAACCACATGTTACCCTCTTCTTAAATACAATCTCCACTGTGTAGCTCGTTCCTGTTACTGGGACTCGGCTGTTCGGCCTGCCAGCGGACTGAAGTCTAAAGGCGCACAGAGCCGGGTGCACTGTACGGTGGCCACGGCTTCCACGGCCACATCTACACACAGTATTCAGAAGCGCTCCAATTACAAGGCATTCCCGTGTATAAGAGGAGGCCAGCCCCCATGCAGGCTAGGTCTGAACCCATGCCTCCCAATTAGCTGGCAACAGCTTTAGTAAGTCTTCATCTCTTTAAACGATGCACAGGCTCTCTCTTATGATGTGCACCTGACTTCACAGACATCTTTCCTCCCCGTCTTTAACGATCATGGTTTCGACCTTCAAGTTGAAGGCTGACAAGGTGTCAGGGCATTCTTCAATGTGTGTGTTTGGTCTGCATACCAAACCAAGCAGTCATGACCCACTCCCCAAAATATGAATTCTTAACCTCTGCTCTGAAAGCTGCCAAACAGGGTCCAGCTGGCTCCTCCTGAGACACAGGGCCCCGGGGCTTCTTCCTGGCAGCTATGGAAGTCACCACTGTTTTCAAATGGACTGTCATGTCCATGGGTTCAAAGCAGAGCAAGAGCAAATCCCCTCTGGGTGAGGGGTAGAGGTCGGCGTGGATTCACCTGGGAAGGTGGCTGGTGAGGGCTGGGGAAAGGACACTGATTTCCCAGAGAAGACCCCAGAGGGCAGAGCAGGGAAAACAGACACACAGACGGGCTCTCTGCGACTGAGACCCAAGGACAGGAATGCATAGTTCCAAGATGAGCCACCAGCATTCCTTCGGAGAAGCAGGAGTGTGTCAGGTCAGTCCAACCACTGCAAACACACTAAATATAGGTACTAAGAACATGTCTTTCAGGAAGGGGCTGGCAGGAAGGGGAGGGTTTTGGAAGGAACCAGCACCCAGCACCCAGCCAGTCACAGAAAGGTCATCTGCAGGCCCGTTCCTACAAGGTTGGGCAATCTGACTACGGGTGACATTTCTCTCTGCAGAGATCATGAAGGAAATGTTTAATTTTCATCAGAGGTTCACTCCCAGAGTTAGCAGCTAAGGGCCATTTTTTAAATTTAGGAAATTAAAGGAAATGCTTGCCTTTTGTGGTCATCTTTGGGCCTGGTGAGAAAATTACTATAAAATGTCATCAGTATTAAAAAATAGCTTTTAAACAGCCAAAAAGAAAAAAGACCCACAAAAAAAAAAAAAAAAAAAGGAACAAAAAAAAACCCAGATCTACAACCACTTAAATCATTGCTACCAGTAATGCTGCCATAAGAAACCTCATAGAAGAGGACTTGCAAAACACACCATAGGGGCAGGCGCTGTGGCGTAGCAGGTAAGGCCACCACCTGCAGTGCCGGCATCCCATGTGGGCCCCAGTTCAAGTCCTGGCTACTCCACTTCTGAACCAGCTCTCTGCTATGGCCTGGGAAAGCAGTGGAGGATGGCCCAAGTACTTTGGCTCCTGCACCTGTGTGGGAGACCCAGAAGAAGCTCCTGGCTCCTGGCTTCGGATCAGCCCAGCTCCAGCCATTGCAGCCATTTGGGGAGTGACCCAGCGGATGGAAGACCTCTCTGCATCTCTGTAGCTCTGCCTTTCAAATAAATAAATTTTATTTAAAAAAAAAAAAAAAAAAAAAAAAAACCATGTTTTATGGTCACAAAGTCAGTGTGAAATGTGCTTATTTCAGTTCTCAGCCCATATCAGATCCTTGGCTCTCCTTTCCATAGATCTACCTTTTTCAAGAAACAGCTGCTGGAAACTGCAGAATTTGGCAGATTTAACTCATTTTATATACTTATCTGTTTTCTTTTTTCCACTTCCCAAATCCCCCAGATCTAAATTTATCTGGAAATACATACATATGTATGTTATACGCACACACACACACACACACATTAACGTAGGGCTATAAGACATGCCTGCCACCGCCGCCGTAATCTGAGGAACGTGTTCTTCTATCCCACACGCAGGGAGGTGGGCATGACGAGCCTGCAAGAGGCTGTGCAGCACCACGCAGGTCGTTTCAAGCCTGTCATCTAAATACAGCTGTTACTGAAGTGCTGCCCAGGGAAAGCAGAGAAGAGGCAACTGTCACCTCCCTCCCAGCAGCAAGCTCAAGGTCATTCACAATGAGAACCCGGAAGCCGATGGATGCAACACTTCCTGTCTAGACACTCCAGCAATGATTGCTAGAGGAGCCAGACAGTGCGTTCACCGTTGCTGCTGCTCCACTGCTCCGTCTCCTCTGTATCAGGTGCGACAGCAGTGGGCCTCCTGAGGTGCTCCGTGGCTGGTGGACACACAAAGCCGCCCACACAGGGCAGCTCACTCAGCACTGACGGCACCCGCATCACTTGTGTGGCTGGGGCTCCTGCAGCAATCCACTTTTTCTAGGATAATCTGTTTATTCTCTTAAGCTTTTAGTACTAACAGAGACAGTGAATTAAACTGCAGAAAGCTGGTACAAAAAGACTTGTTAAACAAACAGGTGCCTAGACAGCAAAGCACAATGACGAGTGATGGTGACGTTGTTCAAGGTAAAACTGCAAATCAACAGCAGGTGGGAGAAGAGACCCCTGATGTCGTGGCTCCTCTCTGTGTGTGGCTGGCCCATTTCAGAGCTTCCAGTCAGCCCTCAAAGTAAGTTAAGCCTAAATCAGGAGCCAAAGTCGTTTTTGTAAAGGATTTCTCTGAGTCACACTTTCCTCAAGAAAGTAAAAAAAATGTGTTAGAGCACAAATGGTCCCACTACCAATCAACCTTGTGAGACCCAGCGCGAGGGCATCAGGCACACAGCCGTGAGTGGCAGGAGCAGGACTCTCTGCCCTCCCGCCAGAGCCGTGCCAGGAAGACACCTGCAAGCCCGGGAGCTCTGCCTGCAGTGCGGGCTGGAGACGTGGCTGTAGCTGAGACACATGCCTGTTCTTCCTTGCCATGCTTGGTTTGTTGAAAACCACATTTCAGAAAAATCTGCAGAAGAATTTTTCCTCCACGGAAACAATGACACCCATTTTACCTGTGGAGGAACTGAACCTGCTCCCATGGATTTTACCTGGCGGGGCCACTCGGTCCTGGTACGTGGGCTTAAATTCACTGATGGTGAGCAGCATCACCTGGATGGTTCCGATGAAGATGCCGGCCAGGCAGCCATAAAATATGACGTAGAACAGAAGGATCTTAACTGCAAGAAGAACAGAGCAGACAAAAGGCTCAGAACGAAAGTCTCCTCTTCCCAGGATGTGTGCACTTCCCCCAGCTTTCCTTCCACCTCGTTTCTCCACAGCTTCCTGTTCCAACATGGAACCAAACAGCAAACCTCGATTCCACTGATGTGTGGGAAAAAGCGGGGTGGGGGTGGCAGCTGTCCACTCTGGGGAGGCCAGTGGTGGTTAAGGTTAGCAGGAATGTTCAGACATAGCTATGATCCTTACAGAAAATAATTTTATTCCTGAAATTAAATATATATATATATATATATATCTCCAAGAAGATCAATAAAATCAAGAGCTATGACTGCTTATGCAACACATCTAAAACATGGTGATATATTCCTTTGGAAACGTGGGGTTTTTTTGCTTGCTTATCCCATGACATTTAAATGCTACAATCCAGGGGCCACTGAATGCTCAAATACCTAAGGGTTTTTATGTTTGTGACAGAGCACTGAATGCCAGGAAAATCAGGGGTGAGGGAGGCAGGACAAAGAGTAAAGAAAAATTCTGAAATCCACAGTAAAAATGCCCTGCCTGCACATTCTTGTTTCACCCTCTGGCTGGAACCAGAGTAAGGACCTACTTGATGAGCTGCATTTTCTCTCTCCCATAACTAATGGGATAACACAATGGAGGCAGAAATAGCTGTAAAAGACGACGGGGGTGGGGGGGACACCCAGGAAGCCCACAGACTGGAATGAAGCTATCAGTTACTAGTTTACTAGGATTATCTCCATGATTAGCCGCATAGTAACAGGCTGTACTAGGCAGCGCCCGGCAGCCCTGTGCCAGCCAAGCAACTCAAACGTGAATGCAAAAGTGGGAATGAGTAACTGTGAGGTTATCAAGTCAGAAACAGGACTGCCCCAGGGAGCCCTAGGTTACTTCTGCAAAGGCCCAAATCTCATCCACCAAATGCTGGAGTGCTTGGGGGGAAAACCCCACAGAACAAAAGCGGTATTGAAAAGCAGTCGAGGTGGTGGGACGGGGCAGTGAGTGGGCATCAGCTGTGTCTTTCCTCTCCCTACCTTTCAGAGTCAAACTTTCCTATCACACATTGAATGATTCAGGGAGGTCATGTTAAAACAAGAGAAACACACACAAAACCACAAAAGAAATGCTTAATTGTAATCCTCCCCCCCCCCCCCCCCCCACCAAGAGAAAAGAACAAGCAAACAGGGAAGGCACAAGCACAGATAAGGAAGAATGCAAAGGTTGCATAATCCAGAGCCGCCCTCCCAGCTCAATCACTCCCTCCCAGCAGGACAGGGGTTAAGTGCTGCATTCTGTATCCAAGCAGCAGTAGGCAAATGGCAAGGCTGTGACGTCAAGAGATCTGGAAAATTTTTCCAGCGAACGCCCTGAAGAGGTGCAAGAGTTGGTACAACACGTTCAGCAGGAGGGCTATTGTAGTCTTGCTTCGCAGTTTCACTCTTCCGCATAGCCCCCTGTCCCCGTCTCATCTTGGGACACAGCTTAAGCACATTAGCCTCTTCTGCCAACTAGAATTCGACACAATGGTCTGGATATCCAATCTTAACAACATACAAAGGGGCACAGCTGGCGCTACAGTTGAAAATACGGAGCAATGGAAAAATAAGTAATTTTGGAAGCACCTTCCACTAATCTTATGCATGTCCAGCCTTTCCATTCTGCCCACAGATACCCTAGAAGAAGCGAGAAATTTTCCTTTGTGCTCAAATATTTCTCAGCAAAATCTTCCTAGTTATTGCTATGCGATCACTAAACTAGCGTGGAGCATGTGGAACTGTCAGGACCTGTGCAGGGGGCTCACCTACACCCAGGCCACCAAGAGCTACTCAAAAACAAAAAAAAATCAAAAGCAAAACAAAACAAAAACAGGCTAGACAAGTGGCACAAACCAGCTACAGTGGCAGCATGGGATGGGGCCCAAGTTTTAAAGGTATCTTCCCTTTTACACAAATAAAAAATAAGTACTGTTGAAATTGTGTGATCAGAAACAAATATATATATATATATATATATATATACCTTTTCAAAGGTCACAGGTAGATGGGAAAATGGCATCAGGGCCCAGCTACAAATACAAAACCCTACACCAACGCCTGCATTAACTTAACCAAAAGGCAGAAAGCACAAAGATTTGCATGCCATGATTCCTCCAGCAGGTGACAGGCTAGAGTCTCCTGCATCCATCTTGGTGAAAATCTACCTATAAGCAAAACTGAGCCAAGGGCATCCTGCCCTCGTCCCAAGGGCATCCATGTTGGGCCCAGGGCTGGAAACACAGGCTTTTCCCCATAGGAGACAGAGTGGCTGCGGCCACCTTCTCTGTCTAGGAGACGCTCTGTCATTTCCCACACTGCCAGACAGAAGCAAGTAGACATATTAGCGCAAAATACAAACTGGATTTTTAGCCTAGCACCTGCACCTTGGAAAATGGAAGCAGAGATGAGAGAAGCACCCCAGTCCTGGTATCTGCATTCATACCTCAGGGTAAGGATATTTTGCAGCATGTGATATCAAGACACAAATATTAATGCATTTTCTGTCTCTCTCGGGGCTGTGAAACCTCTATAAATGTCGACCTAAAGAGCCAGCCATTCCATATCGCCTTACCCTCTAAAGCAAATGTTATTTTAAAAAGCACGAAATCGGAATGAGGAAAGAAATACATTTTATGAAGATACACTAGAGGGCAAATTTCACAATGTGCCTGGAGTCACTGCAGCTCTTGCCCCATGACCTGTCACAGCAGGCGTGAGACCACCGGGGAAGGCCGCCCCAGCTAACCTGGGGGGAGCAGAGCCCTTCCGCAGTGCACCTCCCAGGCCTCACTCAAGTTCCACAGAGTTGCTAGGAGATGGCCCTGGCTGGGAGCTGTCAGCCTACACTGGCTCTACATTTCCTCAGGTTTTCCCTTCCACATCAGGAAAACACAGGGAGCTACCTTTTTGCCTGAGCCATGACGACAATCTCATGGAAGAACCAGTCTCCGCAAAGCAAAATGAAATATAAAACAGCTTAAAGCCACAGCTATGAAGAACTACATTTTCCATGGCTCAGGACCTAGGCTTCCCAACAGTACCCTGGAATGAGGCTTCACCTTGACTAACCTTGAAGTGTGATGCATTATTAACCCTTTACTTTTCAACCAAGAGTGACTGGCTACAGGCTGCACTTCGTTTTCCTTTACCCAAAAAAAAAAAAAAAAAAAAAAAAAACCATATATTATAGCTTCTTCCATTTCAAAATGTCAGCCGAGCACGATTTCCCTGACTCATTCTCCAGCCTGTTCACACAGATCCTCCCAACCTGCATCAGCCCCTCCTCAGGGCTCCCCCAGTGACTGCAGCAGAGGGGCTGCTGCCGGTGATGATGATGATGATGATGACACTGGAGAAGGGGGAGGGGGCAGTGATGCCGCAGGGGGGAGTTCCCTCCCTCCCTTCCGCAGTCACGACTCAGACTCATAGATTTGCCTACAACTCTGCCCTTCAAAATGACCTTTTCAGAAAAAAAAAAAAAGTCACCCTTCTGGGGTAAGGAGGCAGAGAGCAGGTAAGAGATCTAATTTAGGGCAGGGGGGACAACCAAGTCCATGCAACCAAGCAACAGGCTGCACAAAATCTTAGGAGATGAGCTGCCTCTCCGACTGGGCCATTTATTTCCTAGACTAATGGATGCTTTACTGTAATCAACCCAAGCTACTGATCCGCATCTGTCTATGTGGACCAGGAAAACCACCAGACTTTGCCATGTTCCGGGCCAGCACTCTGAAACGGAGCCCCGACATGGAGCTGGGCTGGGGCGGCTCTGGCCAGGCTACTGGGGGAAGCTCTGGCCATCGCTATGAAATACTGCAGTGAGGTCGGAGTCTTCTACTCCTTCCCTCTCGTCTCTCTCTTCCTGGGCGCCTATCAAGACTAGGTGCAAGATGCTATGCCACAGAACCCCGCCTGCAGTACATTCATGGACCTCCCATGAGGTTCTCTCGCAGCCCCAAATCCCCCCCCCCTTTTTTTTGATGGACCTGGGACACGGCCACAGGGCGACCACAGCCAGTCTCCCGGCACCTGGTCGTTCCCCAGAGCCAAAGGCTCGAACGGCGCTCACGGTGGGGCGGGCTACACATTACCAAGAGACCAGACGGGCACAACACACACAGCCCTTGATCAGGCGAGCTCCCGCAGCCACCCCGCGCCTGGCGACGAGCCCGGGCCAGTGCGACCCGCGCAGCGTCCCCTGCCCGTCCGCAGGGCCTGCGCTAGCGATGCGCCGCCGGCACCGGCAGGGCGCGCGGGGGGCGAGAGCCGCACACTCGGTACTTACACCAGCTGCCGCCGGTCCTGCCCAAAAACTCCTTCTTCTCCGAGTTCCAGATGAATTTCTTCCAGCTGCCTTCCTCCTTGGCTTTCCCGCGGGCCATGGTGGCGGGTCAGCGGCTGCCGGACTGCGGCGTGCGCCTCGCGTGCTCCTGTCGGCGTGCGGGCCCGGCTCTCGCAGGCTGGACGCGCCGCTGCCGCTGCGGCTCTCCGAGTGCGAGACGCGCGACCGCGGAGCCCAGGCAGCGGCGGGGGGCGGGGGCGGCGACGCGCGGGGGCGGAGGAGGGGGAGGGACGCGCGGGCCGGGCGGCTGCGAGCCCCGCACCTATTGGTGGGCGCGCGGCCGCTCCCCGCTCCCTTTGGTCCTCCGCTCACTCCTCTCGCTTTGGGGGGAGCTCCACGCACCCGCAGCAGCCGCTCCCGCCGCCACGGGGCCCCCGCCCGCTGTGACCTCTGCAGAGACAGGCAAGCAGCAGGGGAAAAAGGACGCACAGGCGGACCGCGGGCCCTGCAGCAGCGCGCCCGCCAAGAGCGGAGAACCTGGCCGGGGGCGCGGGCCCTACCTTTACTATATACCGCGCCCCGGCCGCCTGGGCCCCGCCCACCGGCCTCCCACCCGGCCAATCGCCGCGCGGGGGCGGGGCCCGGGACCCGGGAGGGCGGGCGCGGGGTCGGCACAAAGGAGCCGCCCGGGCGCGCGGGCCTGGCTGGGGAGCCGGCGCGCGGAGGAGGGCGGAGGGCGGAGGACTGAGGGCGGAGGGGGCGGCGTGGATACCCTCCTCCTCGTCCCTGCGGGGCGCAGACCCGCCCCGCCCCGCGAAGGTGGGGTGGTCTGCCCTCGAGTCGTTCGGAGCCCCGCGGACGCCGGGGACCCCGGCCCGGCGGCCCTGAGCTGGTCCCGTCAGCCGCGCTGCAGGTCCACCTCTCGAAGGCCCCGGCGGGGCGGGGGCAAGGTCACTCTGGGACGCTCGTGGGTCGGGGACTCTGCCCAGCTCCGCCCTGCCTCTCTGCTCCTGCACCTGCCGCCCCCTCGCTGTCCAGGCCACTGCGGTTGCAGTTCCGGCCCGGCCCTGCGCCCGGGCCCGCCCAGCCGGCAGCCCGGGTTCCCGAGAGTCGGGCTGTGCTCCTTGTGGGCGGCCTGAGCCACCTTGAGCAGGACGGTTGCCAAACCCATCCAGCGAGGTAGCCTGGAGCCAGGACTCGGGAGGGGTACCCCGGGTGAGTCGTCCTATGGAAACCGGATGCGGTTCAAGCCAGTCCAGACCCAGGCGACAGTGTCTGCACGTGACCCAGCGCCCTCGGTGCCAGTCCAGAGACTGGTGTGCTCACTGGCATGCTCTTATTCTCCTTGGGGCACCGACCGCTCTGTTCTGTACAATTCCTGCAGCCAAAGAGCATTTGGGATCACCCAGCTCCTACGGGAAGAAGGTGCAGGGCAATCAGTACTGTATGCCTCCTCATGCTTTTTCCAACCAGCGCCTCCCCTGAGCCCGGAGCAGCTTCACACCTCCCTCTCAGGGCCATGACACAGCAGAAAACGCTGGGATCCTCCTGCAGTCACTGCAGAGAAGCCCCGTCCCCAGGGACCAGGTGGCCCGTGGTGGAAAGAGGCACTTCCCAGCCCCATAGCAAGGAACTACCCAATACAGTGGTGCATGTCCAGGTCACCTTACTGTCCCCAAGGTCAGCCTGGCAGGCCTTGGGACAGGCTTGAACTGAAATAGAATGAACTCTTTCCCACAAGTCCTCTCAAAGCCCACCAGACAAACCCGAATGTTCCTGAAATGGGGGTGGGGTGGGCAGCCACCTATTCACCCAGCCCCAGAGGGGCTCCTGTGGGATTCTGTCAAGGGCAAGCTTGAGAACAGCCTGTTGAGAAAGGCAGCCAGCCTGCTGTGCCCCTGCAGTGTTTATGTTGGAAAAGCCCCAATTGGTAGAACTGCGGAAAGAGGCTGCACCTGCAAGGAGAAGTCACCTTAGGGAAGAGTTTCCATCGGACCCAGCCCTGGGAAGGGCCTGTGTTTGTCGGTTGTCCACTACAGCAAGAGGGAGGAAAGGCTGTGGATAGAATCGGCACAAAAATTGGGGCAGGGGCTGGGGGAGGGAAGGTAACATGGGGAGGGCCGAGGCCAATCAGGGAGGTTGGGGTGCCCTTCCTTGTGTCCACAACACCCCGTTCTTCCCATCTTCCTCTCTCGTGATAGAGCAGAGTATGTGGAGACAGGCTTACACTAACAAATTTTTAATTAGAATGCCCTTTTTTCATATTAAAAAAAAAAAAAGAAATGCCCTTCCTTAGCTCTCCGGGGGGACTAGCAAAAGTCAAGTCCTCTTGTCCTCAGCCAATTGTCTTCCCCCAGGGAGTCTGTCTCCCCTCTCAAATGCTAGTTCCCCAGCTTCACTCATTTTCCCTCCACTGCATGTAAACTCCTCCTGGTTCTGACAGACCCAAAGGTCCTGCCTGCATAGCCAATGCAGCATCTCATTCTAAATCCATCACCTCCAGGCTTCCTAGAAACATTGGCTTCTGCCCAAACCTGGTATTTCTGCTAGAGAAGATGATCCCAGCCCTTTGGAAATCAGGTGTCTCTTATGGGTTCACCTACCTCCACCTGCCCAGCCACCCGAGACCATCTGGAACTGTCTCACTTATCTAACCACCTCACCGCATTCACTTTCCTGGCTTCAGTGGATGCAAGCTGCCTGACCTTGGGCCAGTCACTTGTTCTCCCCATGGCTGTTCCCTTGGTTGTAAAATTGGGAGTGATACATTGTAGCAAGGATTAAATGGGATATGTGGGAAAGTGCTAAGCACAGTGCCTGGTGTACAGCAAGAGCTATTAAGTAACTAGCTTAATTATAATTCCCTATTTCCATCTGACCTTGTCTCCCCTTGGAGCTGCTACTTCACTACCTTCTCCATCTGATACGCACCCCCTGCCAGGACTCTGAATTCCTGTCAGGCCCCAGAAGGTCACCCTGACTAATTCCCCACCCTCTCTGCCACCTTTCCCCTTGCTTTCCAAGGTGTTTCCTGCTCTGTAACCTCTTCTAACCCAAGTAATGAATAACTCAAGCACACAATGTCCTCGTGGGGCTGTGCTGGGCTGGGCATTTGTTCCAAGGCCCCTTCTGTCAAGGGTGCTGTAGCAGCAGCAGGTTGCAAGTGAGAAATGTGTGTATCTACAGAGGGAGGGGTGTCTATGGCAAGTGGAATTTGTGTGGCTGAGAGTGATGGGAGGTGTAGTCCATGCTATTGGATTAATCTGTACCTGTCCAATAGAAAGGAGGAAGAAGTCTTTAGCCCAGTTTAAAGACTAAGGTGAAGGAACTATTTTTAATCCCTTTTTCGATACAGGTTGGGGGAAAGGGATGGTTTTAGAGTCTGTGATTGGTTCTGTATGAGGTTCATGCTCTTGTATGCATGGATGGTTAGAAGGAAGCAAAGAAAAGAAGTAACAGCAGAGAAGAGAGGGGAATTTGGTACCTATGTCCAAGTGAGGATGACAGATTCCATCTTAGGGAACAATCAGATGCTGTTGTGATTGAAGCGAATCTGCCCTGAGGGCAGAGACTGGGACCTGACCCGGCAGGTGGAAGCAGAACAGGGCCATCCTGTTTGTGGCCAGATGGCCAGTCAGAAGCTAATCTGGAAGAAGAGGCAAGACAGATCAACCCCCAACAGTAAGATCTGCCTGTTGTTGAAAATTGCAGAGGCTAAAATGGAGATGACTGTAAAAGAGAGGGTGCAACTTGGCAGGCTCCATGAGGGAGAAGCAGATCGGAAGAAAAGAAGACCCCAGTCCCACCTATTGGCTTTCTGAACCGCTCGGCTGAATGCAGTGGTGTTTGCTGTGCACAGAGCTGTGGTGGGCTGAACTGCAAGTCTCCACCTCGCACACGTGCTCACACACAGCGGGTTCTGCTCGGCCAGCCCTAGAGTATTTTAAGTACAGAGTGGAGGGAATGGGGGGTATGTGTTGCGTGGTGACTCATCCTGGCAGCAGAAACTGTGTGCAGTGCAGAGGAAAATGGCTCAATGGCAGGCTCTGTTTGCAGTGGAAAGCAACAGGAATGCACAGCTCTGCAATGGAGGGTAAAGAAAGCTGGGAAATGCTGCAGACTGGCCATGGCAGCAGGGCTTGCTTGTGTGGGCCCCTGAATAACACCTAACTGGGGCTTGGACTGAAGCCTAACCATCCGTCATGAAAGGGCACCTGGTTGCTGGGCGGGGCACCACAATGGATCCCTCCAGTTTGAGAGAAAAACAAATCAGACTGCACATGGTTCTGGTTCCTTAGAGAAATAGGGACAGATAGAAAGACCTCTTTGCTAGCTTCATCTGAGGTCATTCTGGCATTCCTGTTTTCCTAGGTCCAGAACTTAACTCTTGTCCTTCAGGAAGGTATAGTATGAAAATAATGAAAAGAACCCTCTTTTTTTTTAAAAAAAGATTTATTTATTTATTTGAAAATCAGAGTTACACACAGAGAGAAGGAGAGGCAGAGAGAGGAGAGAGAGAGAGAGAGAGAGAGAGAGAGAGGTCTTCCATTCACTGGTTCACTCCCCAAATGGCTGCAATGGCTGGAGCTGCACTGATCTGAAGCCAGGAGTCAGGAGCTTCTTTCAGGTCTCCAACATGGGTGCAGGAGTCCAAGGACTTGGACCATCTTCCACTACTTTCCCAGGCCATAGCAGAGAGCTAGATGGGAAGTGGAGCAGCCAGGACCCTAACCAGTGTCCATATGGGATGCTGGCACTGCAGGTGGTGGCTTTTTCTCTTTGGTTTATACTAGCAAGACCATGGAGGTACACAGTGTCTGCAAGCCATCATTACTCATTTGCATGGCTGGTGGGGGATGGGATGGAAGACTGGTAGGGGGCCTTGCTGAACTCTTGTTAGAGCTTTCAGAACCAGTTTTCCTGGCCCCTTTGCACTTCCCCTGTGTGTGAGGGGGTGGGGGGTGGGGAGGAGGAGGGTGAGTTGGTTGAATTTGTTTCTTTCCATGGTAAATTATCACCAACCAGCATATCTTCTAAGCTTTAAAAATTAAAATTCCAGAATTTTCCACCTGCTTAAAAGGTAGCAGGTGAAAGACTAACCTCAGTGAGAGGAGG